GCGGGGCGGCCGTTGGGACGTTGGTCTGCGCCTCCCTCCTCGCTGCGGTTGTCCGTCTGCAAGCGTCGATCTGTGGGAGTCTGCCGTGAGACTGGTAATTTCCGCCCTCGTTGCTCGGAGGAAACGGACGTCATCGGGCTTAAATGAGTAATGCTTTTATTTAAGTTCTACTCTGATTTCACTTTTATTTATTTATTTATCGTGAACACAGGAGAGGGGAAGAGAAGATGGATCTCCTGCCAGATTCAGCACCCCTGGCTACAAAGCTGCAGAACACTCTGATTCAGTACCACAGCATCAGAGACAGCGAATGGCGCATTGCTAAGAGAACTGTAAGTGACCTAGCTGGAGCTTCCTGCGTGTGGCACGGTGTGTTGTGTCAAGCAGGTGGAAGATCCCGTGGCGGGAAATGTGCTGGGTGCCACTAGTGTCAAACATTTGGCACATTCTTACAGGACTCTCAGGGGAGAGGGTCTGGAAAGCAAGAACTCTAGGACAGTACGGTTATCCTAGATAACAATGAGTTTTTCCTCCCTTTGTGGACATACTCTGCCATTCTTCATAGGAGTTTTCAAGGAAGTGTCTCACAGGGGAATCTTACCTATGTAGGGTTATGGGCTTTCTTTGAAGGAAAATTTGAAATGCTGTTACTAGCATTGTGAGATGCTCTCTTGTACTTTCTAACTGTCCAGTCACAGCTTTCAGGCAAGGTCTGACAAGTTGTCAGAATCCCATTTGGAATCCCATTTGTCTGTAATGCCTGAACTCATCATGCTCCTGTTTCTAAAGTGTGAGATCATCTTTGGTTCTTCCTTTCACATCTCTTCTTATATGTCTATTGCCTTCAAGCCTCACCAGCATATCAGTGGCCCCATTTTTTTCCCAGCCTCTGCTTTCCCCAAGCAGTTTGTCATACACTTCTTTTTAGCTGCTTGACAGTTGTGAGTCCCATTCCATCAAGTTAAATAAAATTCCCAGGTGCCTCAGTCCTAGGTATTTAATAGTATAGTAAATTTCTATCTTTGCCTTTTTGTTGCAGTGCTTTTGGAGAGTTTTTGTTGTAGAAGGCTAACTTTTGCCAGCCACCATGACCGAGTCTGACCCAAGGTTCCTACTGAGCAGAAGTGTAAAGTCAAGTCAGAACAAAATTATAATGACACGTGCAGTAATTACAGCTCAGGATGGGTGCCTGCAAAGACGGACCCTGAACAAATAAATCCCTGGGCAGCTGTAGCCTTACAATCTAAATTTCTCACCCTTCATGCAGTGGTTCAGACCAATATTTATAATTGTGTCTGGGGTTTTCTTGTTCTTGCTTGTGATCTGTCCTTGTCTCCTAAGGCCTTGACAAGGAATAGATAGGCCAGACTGCAACGGTTATCACTGTTCCAGGGTGAGAAAAGACTTTTTCTATCAAGGTCTGGGTCAGAGGGTCCTGATGCCCAGGCAAGCCTTATCTCAAAAGTCTTGACATCCTCTCTTTTGGGGTTTGAGTCATGGGAGGCAGACTGCTAACTAATTACAGCCTGATGTAAAGTGGTAGCTCCAGATAGTTATAGGAAAGATCTCTTTAGCCATACCACAGGGACCTAAAGGAGGCTTGCTACAGACAAATTATACTTGTATCTGTGAGTACACTTTGGTTAGGCAGGGTCAGATTTTCTAAATGTAACTAGTTATTTCCAGAAGTAACAAATTTCACTTCTTGAAAGGGAGGAAGGAGGCCCCCAAGTCTCTTACAAAACACCTACCTCAGCGCTGCTTTTCCTAAATGATATATATCGCATCATTATTTTCCGCTAGAAAGATACCTGAATCTTACTGTTCAGATCACCCTAATCCCCCTATTTCACTCCTGTAAAATTCCCCGTTGGACTTTGTGCCTTCCTCCCTTCTTTCATTTTGGTATTCTGCCATGTAAAAGCAATTTAGAGCTTTAATGACCTGCAAGGAAGATTCTTTGGGGAGATTTTATTGAGGGGGAAATTACTTTTCCCCACAATTTTTTTAACCACAGGATGTGGTTCTTACAGTACTATTCTTTAGGGTATTTCATCATTAGTGTTTGTATATCCATAATACCAAATAAAGAAAATCCAGAAGGACACTTCTATACCACTTACATATAAAAAATTTATACCAAGGTTCCTTTTTACAGTTGGATTAAAAAAAAAGGAGGACACTATGTCATGTCTTTATTTCTTGTGGCAAACTCTAAAATGAATTGACTGCTGCTTGCAGGCTGTTTCTAGTCAGGCAGAGCGGGATAACCTAAGTTTCTTTGTCAGCCACTGTCAGCACCTCCTGCCACACATGTGCTTGGTCAAATGTTACAGAAATGCAAACATTATCTGTACAGTCTTCCTGTCTGACCAGTGTCCAGACAGTGACTTTCCAGTCATCTTTTGTTTTGAAGGAAGGCTTTATGTAATAATGTGATGCCATTATGCTCTTTGCATTCCTGGTAAACTGGAATCTATTATTATACTCTGCCAGGTGCTATTTTTGGAGAGGCTTCTAGAAATTGATAGTGAGAAAGTCACTTGAGTGATTTTCTTTTTTTTTGAAAGAATAGAAGATTATCAGTAAAAGATGCCAGGAACATATACTTCTGTTCTTAAGAAAAACATATAAAAGTTCCCAGGTCAGTGAGCACTTCGAGAAGTGCAATAGTTAATAGTGAATATTTTGTTCTTCAGAAATAATGTAGTTTTCTGGACATTTTAGAATTGTCTGTGAATAACAGTTAATACCCTAACTTCTCTTCTTTTTTTTTTTTTCCTCTTTTCAGAAAGATGCTACTGTGTGGCGTAAACCATCAGAAGAATTCAGTGGATACCTGTAAGTTAGTCTTCAGAACAGACACATATTTTGTGGAAATAATTTTGTGTGGAAATTTTTGTGGTTCCACAAATATGCTTTAGAGAATTTAGGATGTGAAGAAGCTAGCTGGATTATCTAATATACTTCTTTGCTATGCAAAGGCCTGTACCATTTCTTTTTAGTTTTGTATTGCAATGCTTTATTCTTGCATGTTGCCTGGAATAACTAAAGGTGAATACTACGGAATATACCACAAAACTCCCATAGGCTTAAGCTGGCAACATCATATTTCCAGACGTTTTAGAAAGATGATCTGTAAACCACACAATTAAGCCCAGATTCAATAGCTCCCAGGCATTACTGAGTGACAGCTTATCTTTTACAGTGCTTGTACTGTCACAGCCCATGCAACAACAGTAGACGAGACATCAAGCCCATAATTGTGGGAAAGATGTGTGCCAACAAAGGCCTTTCCTTTGTGACCTTCTGTGATTGGGTTCTATAAGTAACTGTAGGTTTAGGCAGTGAAATAATAACTAGAAAACATCAAGAAGAAAAAAAAATATTGTGAAATGGTAGTGTTTGAAAGTATCTCAAGGACTGATACACTCTGGGGACTGCAAGGCCTGTTGAATCTACAAGAACTTTTAGGCCAGATACAAAGACTGCTGAATCCATCAGTGCACATTGGCATCAGCAACAGGTGTTGTAACTTAAACCACAGCCAGGAGGGCAGTGGCTTCTATTTACAGATGCATATACACCTGATCAAATAAAGGATCTTTTGAGGGAGCTGCCTCATGTCAATGTTGTCCTCCACTTCTGACCATGTGAGTGTGGTTGGCCTCACTGCTTCTGCTCCAACCTTGTAACTATGAGAGAATATGGATGAACTATGTGAGTGAATAATGTGTTTTCTGAATAATTAACGGCTATTAATAATAATAGCTAAATGAGTAAGAAATGTCTTGAAACTAATGATTCTGATCGATTTTTCCCTCTTGAGGGCCAGGCAACTCAAATAAGAAAACTCTAATGTCTAGTAACTTACACTGAATTATTTTCTATGGTATTCTAATAGGATGCCAAAGCATAACTTAGTTTCTTATTGTTTTGGCTTTACTACTGTTGTTCTTACTTTATGAAAATTGTTTTTCCCACATATCCTTGTACCTTGTATCCTGTTTGCTTTTAGTTTCAGTTTTCCGTGGAGGACTCATTTGCTTCCTGTGAGACAGCAGTAAAATGACAAGTTGTTTTAGAAATAAACATGATGAGGAAAGAATTTGCCATTTGAGAAATACAGTTGCAGCTTAAGCAGACAGTGTCTCTGAATACCATTTATTGCAGTGAAAAGGGGTTGATACACCAGTAGATCTTTCTGCATACTACCTCTCTGACAGAGTTGTATGCTGATTATAACCCCAGATAGCAAGTTATTACAGTAGACCTGTTGTTGCAAACTAGTAGGATGCTTGGAAAGAGTTTCTCACCATTGAATGTAAATTTATGTTTCTCTAGCTACAAAGCTCAAGGAGTTGTGGAAGATGTTACTAACAGAATAGTGGATCATATTCGACCTGGGCCTTACAGGCTAGACTGGGACAGCTTAATGACTTCAATGGACATTGTAGAAACATTTGAAGAGGTAAAGATTTGATTAGCTTCATAAAGAAAAGATATGTGGATGTCTGTGTAAATTCAACTGTGCAGCAGAGCAGTTGTACCAACAAACAGAAATATTAGCCAAAGGAGTTAGATATTTTCTATATATGCACATGATTTTGTGTATACATGTTGTGGGTAAGCTTGGATCGGAGGATTATCTTCACAGTTCTGTTCTGAAGCCTCAAGTTCAGTTTTCCATCAAGGCTATAAATGAGGATACTAAGGAAAATATGAAGTAAAACTAGGAAGGTTATGATTCTCTCAGGTCTTGGAGCTCTGCTACTCTCTGGAAAAAAATCGCATACAAAGAGAACTATAGAGAAGTATTTTATATCTCAAACATTTTTCCTACAGCTTGGTTTCTTCTATTTCTCAACGTACATAACTGTACAAAATTCTACACATACTTTTACAGAAACTAAGAAAGTATAGCCTCTCCCTATTTCCAAAAGGCTGACTTTACTATGCAACTTCTTTTGTTGTTTTTTCTGGGAGCTAGAATAGTTCATACTGAGGGGCAGGAACTGCAAAAGAAAGGTAGGTTTGAAGCTGATTACGTGACAGCTGGTAGCTCCAGTTTGGTTGCTAGGGACATTCAGTACAGAATTTCAAAAGCCTGTGGGCTTCTGACTTCAAAAGTTGTTAGTCATCTTTTGCTTTGGCTCATAAGGAAGAATTATATGGCAGAGGTTTTTTGCTAATTATTTACAGAAACAATTTTTGTGTGATTTAGTAATACTTGCAGAAACACTAAATGTCTCTTAAGAATGCCTTTCTGGAGACTTGTTTGCAATCTCTTTTGTTACTCACTTTGTGGATTACAAGTGCTTTACAGAGGCTCCTAGTAGTGAGAGTGGCTTTCTGGGGTTTATTCCTTGTCCTAAGTAGTCCTACCTTGTGCTGAGTAGTAGGTAAGCCACATAAAGCCACATGGCTTTTAGCTCCCAGTCCTTGACTTAAAATTTTCTAGTTTCAGTCAGTGTGGTTGAAAGGTGCCAGATATTCTCAGCTCCTGCAGCTGTCAGTTGCAAACTGCAAATCCTTACAACCTTTCAGCATTTAGACTGGAGGATGACAGCTTCATTGAGACCTCACTGGAGTCGTCTGTGCAGTGTGTAGTAGAGGAGGGAGGCTACCAGTGGAGGTGCTGGCCTTTGTGGAAAAATCTATGCAAGCATAAATTTCATTTCCATTGTACTTAGCTCTTTTTGTTTTTCTATCCTTTTCTTGTGTTACCCGACAAGAACTGCTGTGTGATGCGCTACACCACTGCGGGACAGCTCTTCAACATCATAGCTCCAAGAGAGTTTGTTGATTTCTCTTACACTACAAGTTATGAAGATGGACTTCTATCATGCGGTAAGGCACCACTCAGCTCTGACTGTTTCTTACTTTGCAACAGCTGCTTGGTGTAAGATCTGATTCTAGGTTTAGTTCTGTTTATGTTCTATTCTAAGTTTAGGTTTAGTTCTGTATTGCTTCTATACTTCAGCATTCAAAAACTGCATAAGATGGTTTGCAAGAAGTATTTCAAAGGTATTTGGACATTTTACAGATCTGTGTGCAAGTACCAGCCATTCTAGTAGCTATTCTATATATTAAAGTACCATTTACACCAGCTGAAGAAACAGGAGTGGTAAAGACGAGTTGAGTGGTGTGCTCCAGCCTGTACAGCAAATTGGGTGAAATAGCTTTAGCTATAGCATCTCTTTAATGTCAGAATTTCAGACTATCGAGCTATGTTCATTTGCGAAGAAGTTTGAATGAAGAATAGACAACCTGCTTGCATGAAAGTACCACCAAATGTGTGCATTTGTCACTACTACTGAATTCTCCAAGCAGAAACTTGTGCTTTTAAATTTACTGTGCCTTTATTTTTCATCTGCCTTAAATGAATTTATGTTCTTGTTTTCTTCAACAGGTATAAGCCTAGACTATGGAGAAGTGAGACCTAATTTTGTCCGTGGATTCAACCACCCTTGTGGATGGTTCTGCGTCCCCCTTAAGGACCACCCTCACCACAGTCTTCTGACAGGTTATATTCAGACTGAACTGAGAGGGATGCTACCACAATCTGCAGTTGATACTGCCATGGCTAGTACCCTGACCAATTTCTACTCTGACCTCAAAAAGGCACTGAAAACATAGTCAAAATGTTTGACCAAAAGTCCATGCGTTTCTTGCAATCAAACTGCATTATACAGTTTAGTATAGGTTAGGTGCTCGTTTTAGAGACAAGTACTGTTATTCCTGAATGATACCTGAAGCTTTATGTAGAGACATCGAAACAACTTTACCAAGTACTTTTTGATCTGATACCTAGCAGGACTACACACATTCCTAACTCGCAGCACAAGATCTCTTTTTTTTCCTGTTCAGCACTGTATAGTGTGTGAAATATAGTCTGAATATATAAGCCCTCTACTTCCTAGAAGGATAATGCAAGATGCAAGCCTGGGCTTGATAAATGCAACATGAAGACAGCTCTCACCAACAGATGGTAGTTGACTCAGGATTTTCAGTGGGTGCAGATTCATGTGCAGGCTGCATCTCATTGAATATTTAATTTTATAATATCTATCTTTTTTAGTTTTTAGTTTGGATATTTGAACTATATGGTGTATGCAGGCACATCTGTAATTTCTATACAATTTAGTTTATTACTTTTTAATCTTGGGTTTAGCAATCTGCTTTGATTTATCGTATGAATGTTATAGCTGAATTTTTAAATGATACTATTCATTAGAAAACTATTTGCTTATGTTAGCAAAAGTAAGTATTCATTATTGGCATTTCCTCAGTGTTGCAACTATAACTTAGTTAGCTGTTATATGCAATAGTCTCAGTGCATAGGTAACACAAGCTCATGGAAGTCCTCAGGTGTCTTTCCATCATATTCAGTGGGCTTTTAATCATATGCTTAATCATCAAAATAGAAAACCTCCCGAGGTTCCTCTGTGGTACTTCACACTCCGAAGTAGTTTTTGCTTAGATTTGCATGCAATTGTTGTTTCCAGTTTAAATTTTGCCTTTCTTAACAGGCCAAAAAAAAAAAAAAAGAACAAAATGGCACTATAGAAACTGCAGCCCTGTTCACTAGCTGATTTCTCCACAGGCAGCCCCGTAGCCAAAACATGAGAGACTTGCTGCATACCTGTGCAGGTAGCCAGGCCCAGCTACCTCAAGTGTGCCTGTGCTGGTGTAACGTATGAGGATGTATCAAAACTTTGCATTAGGCAAAATATTTTAAAACATGAGCACTTGAAGGCTAAAAACTCAAGCTGCAGAGCTGCTCAGAGCCATTGGAAGCCGCAGGTCAAACTTTTCAGGATAATTATCCAGCTAATGGTGCCAATAGGTACATTGTGGAAAGACTCAAAAGCTTTCTATCGGCACTGCTAGGGAGCCTAATTCTCTTTAAAACCTTATGTGGAGAGTTTAATGTTTGTACCCATCATTTGTTCAAGAGAAAGGTGTAATTATCCCTGTGTTTTCCCAGTGCTAATAGAAAAGAGCTTAGCTGCATAGCAGGTTAGGGAAAATACCTTGGAGCCCTAATGTTTCAGAGATATGTTGTATACATTTATTCCTAAGGGACTACAGGAAGCTGTGTCTACTTGGTGGTTTATTCATATGTCCAGAAAGGCTAAGGAACTCTTTGAATCTTAGTGCTCCTCATATTTATTTCCCAGATCAAGGACTGGTCGGAATGAACCAGATGAAGTTTTGAATTGCATTATTTTGAATTGCAGCTTTGCCGTTCTTACACTTTCAGAGAGCCCTGTTGTTCTCCCTTCCCCTCTCCCTCTGCCCAGCTTTTGTGAGCAGACATGGTTCAGACAGTGTCGAATAAAGTTGTTTACCCTGCAATATTGGCTCTTTAAACACAGGCCACAGTGGCTGGGCTTTTTGTTCTTACTGTTCAAGGAAAGGGATAGGGAGAACAGGTATAGGGCATTATGTATTATCAACAGCTTTTCCAGTTTGCTTCACCTAGTAAAGCATTTGGTAATGCACCAAATAATTTAGTTTAAGACACTTAAGGACAGTGGCATCAAGATCATGGCTGTGTCTTTCCAGGCAGGAAAATGTTATCTCCTTGTTGGATATGTATATTCTGCAATTGCATTATACATGCATGCATACATATATGTATGTATATGTTTATATATATACCTACAGTCCATAAAGAACACAGTTTAAATCTTAGATAGAGACAAATCTGTGCCAGAGAAGCAGGTCAAAAGGAGCACAAGACACTTTTATAGGAGGATGTTTGTACCATGATAAGCACTGCAGAAAAGTTTTAAGAAGTCCCTGTTCCAAATGGCCAAAGTAAGGCCTTGATCTAACTCCTCAAGGTATCTAGTCTTATTTAGTCTTTAGAGAAGTGGCAAAGAAGAAAAACACTTGTGTTTAAATCGAAAAAAGTTTGTAGCATATTTTATGTATTATGTTTAAAAGCATTTTTTTCTCATGCAGCTTTCCTTTATAACCAACAGAAATGTTTTCAGTATAGACCTCAATATGGAAAAAAAGTTGTGAATAAGGGCAGAATTTCCAGAAGCAAAGTAGGTCTCCTGTGTTGCACTACAGTAATTTGTTTTTTAAGCACTGATTATAGTATGTTCTAACAGACATGCAGTATTGCCTCTGCCAGTGAGTTTAAACATTCAAATCAACAACTCAGTAGAGACTACAGGAGGCAGATAAGAGGGTGGTTTTTTTTTTTCTTTTTAAACAAACGAACAGAAAATACCATGCAATTCTTTAATTCTTCAGTTTCAGATTAGGCGAAATCAAAGGTACTAACAGGTTTTAAGGATTTATTTTGAGACTTTTTACGGTCTTAAAATATATATTACGAGTATAATGATGAGTGACCAAGTATGCCAATTATGTTGCTGAAGCAAAGCACAGCTGGTACCCACAGAGTTGTTATTCCAGTTAAAGAGTTACAATGAATGTGTTCAGTTTCATAAAATGTGTTATAGTTGTTTGAAACCAAATCTTATTTTCTTTTCATAGCTAGGGATTGTGAGGAATGCCAGACCTTTAAACAGAGCTATTCCTTTCATTCCAATTTCTACCCAAACCTCTCTTGCAAACCAGAGTATGCTGAGATTGTGATCAGTGTGGGAACCAAAGCAGCACAAACCAGAAGGGGTTGAGAGGGGAAAGTGGGGGGGGATAGGTGGGGGGAGGGATAGGTGGGGGGACCAAAGTAAATGACTTGGCCTAGATTTCTGTCATGCTCATAGTAGTGAATTTGCACAAGTTTGTGAGGTTTAGCAATACTTTTCATTGTCAGGGTGGACACAAGGTTACTGTGGTACTTTATTTTAGAGAATTTCAGATAAATTAGAATATGGGATAGTGTCATCTGAAAGCAGCTTCTCAATAAGCAGAAGTCAAACTTGGCACACTGAAGTAGCTGAGACCAGTTTTTGCTAGGCAGAGGGCATGCATTATAGACACGTCAGATTTATTTTTATATGATCAATATATTTTTTAAAAAATTATCTTTTAATGTAGTCTGTTCCTTGGCACTTTATCTAAGTCCTTTTTGCGGGTGAGAAGGACACCTAAATATGAGACTATTTTTGTGTTTAACTTCTTTTTTTCCATGGTAATAGAATCCTGCCTTTAGTTGTGCTGCCTGTTTTGCAAGTGCAGCGGTTTGAACTGCCCCCACTTGCACCATCCTCTGTTTACTGCAGCCTGCTGGGAGGGGGAGTGGTGCTTTAGGTGGATACTCTGGGAAAAGCACAGCTTTGACCCAAATATTGATAGGTTTGTAATGCCTGTTGGTGACTGAAATGTTACAAGGGTGCATAATTTTTCCAGTAATCAGCAATAACCAAGAATGGAGATCCTGAACTGCTTTAAGCTATTGATTCGATCTGCAAGTGATTCAATCTTGCTGACCAAATAACCATAGTTCTCCTGAAACCGGTCAGGTTGTGCCTATGTTTAAAAAAATCAATGTTAATCTATCTTAACAGTGGTTTTAAATGATTGTGTTTAGTGCTGAATAAAATTGTATTTATATTTTGAATGAGATTGCAGAATAAATTAAAATATGAACTCCAGCAAACTCGTGACACTGTTTTCAATGCTTGCACCGGCAGATGTAGTGTTCAGTTACATAATCAAGCATAACTCCCTACAATGTAGCTTATCTTCAGCTGCATGGCCATCTCCAATGCTGTAAATGCCTTTATCTTATCTCCTGCAATGTTTAAGAAATGATTTCTTAATCGCCAGCATTAAATTCAGCCTAAACATATGGAGATGTAGAACTTTGCTAAAGGCATATATATGTGCATGAGGGTCCTAAAGCGCTCTACAGCATCTATTTTGGCAATTTAATTGGAACCACAGAGAAAGAAAATGCCTGTCATATGCCTGGATCCTTTCCTTGTTTTTGCAGCTATGCCAGCACAAAAGCAGAAGGTTTTTTTTTGTGAAATTTGACTTCAGAACAAGGCGTTCCAGCCCTCTTCTGCTGCTGAGAAAAGCAACTGCACCTTTTCTTAGGGAACATGTCATATCTGCCCCTGCGAAGAGAGGTAGGAAGAGAAGCAGAGTTTGCTTCAGACCTTTGTAAAAGGATTAAGGACATTAAATAGGGTTATTAAGAAAAACTATAGCATTTAATCCTAATTTAAACACATACCCTGGTGTGAGAAGATAGATGACTTCTTTCAAGAGAAGGCTGGCTAGGTGAAAGATTAATAACAAAACTTGTGCTAGAGATGAAACAACCAGTAGGAAAAAAAAAAAAATGAGGAGCCCTAGACAGCAAGTGAAGCTTAGTGCTGCATCCTGCCCCTTTTCCTATCATCCTTCCACCTTCTCTGGACATGCTGCTGGCAAGCCCCCGCTGCAGCAGCAGCAGCAGCAGCAGCAGCAGCGGCGCACGACCCCAGAGCTCTGTGCATGCTGTCCCACACTGCAAGGGACTTCCCCTACCCTTGCTTGGCAGCTGGGTTACGGTGCCCCAAGTCGCAACACCTTCTCCAGAGTCTCTCTCTTTTTCTAAGTGATTTTACTCAGATTTTCTCTTTTGGTGAGGCAAGGCAATGCAAGCACATGATGAAAGTTCAAAAGGTCTCTGTGACACGGGCAGAGTGGACACACAGCTACTAGCTGATGAGTTGCAGCCTGAGGCATGAGTAGGAATTCAAGGTGCTCATGCCCTCTGCGGCTGGCCAAGGACTGGTTTGGCCGTGCCCTTGTCACAAAACATTCCCGAGCCCTGGGGCTCCCTGCCTGTCTGCCTGTGCAGGAACAGCTGCTGGGCCGAGGACAGCCCCGGGGGGCAAGACAAGAAGTCACTATC